GCCCAGCAACGTCAACTACACGATCATGAACACGGGCTTCGACGATAATATCGCGTATATCCATTACCGAATGGACGTTGTTGGAGCTACGGAACCCTCCGCTGTTGTTGATGTCTTCAGATTTGACGGCACTTGCATCACGGAACACTGGGATGTGGCACAGCAACGACCTGCAAACGCCATCAATCCCATTGCAATGTTTTGATTCTGAGCGCGAAGCGTAGCGGTCGTAACGCCGCGGACGGTGTCCGGCCAATGCGGGCGTACGTCACGGATGCGCGGCGCATGGGGCTGAATGCGAGGTCACTGGCCGCAAAAGTACAATCGCGTCACATACGAGTAACTGCTGCATAGTATATATAGAGGGGCTGCTATTGCTGTACGTAGGCTTTTAGAATGGAAACGTGGGCCCATCATATCATTACCCTCGCTAGTTGTGTTTGATTGGCGGTAGTAGAAGAATGATGATGTGTAATGTGTTGTTCTTGTGTTTTCAGAGTCTTCCACAATAGAAGTGTAAGGGGCTGGCCCAGTGTTTGTTCAACAGTATGGGTGCCGTCGATTGACTATTCTAAGCTGAAGAGATGTTTACAGGAGTGGGTGTCTAGCGGCGGTGAAGCGTATCGGGTTGAGCGGTGTGCTTCGGCAGAATGGTGGATCTAATGGGGCCGAGGATCGGGACAGCTGCTCCGGCAAAGCCGGAGATCTCAACCGGGCTCTAGCCCGTGACAGCCTCGCGGTCCCCATAAGACCGCTGCCTCCCATCGGCACGTATGTGGATCAGTCGCCGGGCTGGGTGGGCCCAGGCGCGGGACGGGATGAATTTTTTTTTACGGCCCGGAACACCACTGGTACACCCACATGATGACAAGATAAGCGCACTACGTATCCAGCGACCTACCTAATGATTGATTTGCAGTGGCAATCGCCAACATGGCCTGCTGGCGAAATGGCATTGCGTCAGATTTCGGCTTTCTAGTCATACTCTGAAGATTGCAGGTACGAGTCCTGCGTAGGTCGTGTGTTTATTATTGGAATTATTGTTTTTTTGCTTCTCTAAGTATCAATCTGCGGCGTGTGGGAGCAACCAAGAACTTTCCCCGCTACCCCACCTGCAACGGCACGGAACTCATCCCGCACGACTTTTTCTTCCGAACTGCTGCTTGGATGTCTCTCGTCCCGCTTCATTTCCAGTGAACGCTTGTTCATCTCGGACTGACTGGGGTTGGTGAAGGCAATTCAGTCCGAATCTGATAGCGGCAACGACGGCGTCAGCAAGAGTGTCAACAACCCGAAAAGCATCCTGTCCGAAGCAGCTGTTCTTCGACTGACTGTTCGACGCTAAAGAGCAAACGTGTAGAAGAGCCAGCCAGCCGGCGTCAGTGTGTTGAACTCGTAGACCCATAAGAAATTCAATATGATATTGATTAGCGTCTTGCAGCAGTTAATAGTGACCACTAATCGCACTACTCATTGAAGACGTCTACGAATGCTTGCTTCGCGGTTTCTCCTCGAACGCAATGTCTTGAATTGATTCCCGCTGCAGTCCAGGTCCCGTGGCTGGAGGCCGGTCAACCAGCCCCACATCATCGGCATGGTCCCATGAAACCCGGACCGATCTGGATACAAATAGCCGAAAGAGCCTGCGAAAGCAATGCAAAGGCAGGCCGCTATGCCCCATAATGCATTGTCAGCTGCAGGTGTTGTGAGTGGTTTGAATCTTTGATTGGCATCGAGAGAAATAATAACACGCATCAGCGCCTGGTCACTGGGACCGGTCGCTGCTTAAGATCACATCCTATTTATCAGCACGAGAAGCGAGGTACTTATTACACAGTTAAAAAGTTGTCGATGGCTGCATGTAACTTATTGAGATTGGATGGCTTGACGCTGCTAAGTGTATGCCTTATAGGGTGCTAAAAGATTTCAATTGAGAAATTCAATTGGGTTGAAGCGTGATCGACGTCGCAGTGTGATTGCGCAGCCTCTCATGAAGCTAGAGGTTTGTGGTGGCGATGAGGCATTTTTGGGTGTCCCATATGTGGGTGTGGGACGTTAGCGAAGAGAATGGGAAGATGGCCCATCGTCCTACCCCATGGCACCTGATCAGCCAGAGAGGTGTTCTGGAGTCGTAGAACTTGTTGAACGAAGCTATCTTGAAAGTAGAGGGCGCGGACGGCCCCGGCGCGGTCGGGTTAGGGGTAAAGAAAGGAAGGGGGATGATGGGTATAGGGGGTAGGGGAGGTAGGGGAGGTAGGGATTTATTTTATAGGGGGAGGAGGAGGCAGTAGTAGTAGTAGTAGAAGTAGTAGTAGTAGAAGTAGTAGTAGTAGAAGTAGTAGTAGTAGAAGTAGTATTTATAGTAGAAGTAGTATTTATAGTAGAAGTAGTATTAGTAGTAGAAGTAGTAGTAGTAGTAGTAGTAGTAATAGATAGGTGTAGAGTAAGTTATATTATAGTCTAGAGTAGTATAGTAGTTAAAGGTAAATAAGAATTAATCTATATACTACGATATAGTAAAGAATAGAGATATGCCCCTAGGTGCAAAAGAAGTCATATGCCCCTAGGGGCAGAACAGAGATATGCCCCCAGGTGCAAAAGAAGTCATATGCCCCCAGGGGCAGAACTTCCATCTGCCCCCAGGTGCAAAACAGACATATGCCCCCAGGTGCAAAAGAAGTCATATGCCCCCAGGGGCAGAACAGACATATACCCCCAGGTGCAAAACAGATATATGCCCCTAGGTGCAAAAGAAGTCATATGCCCCCAGAGGCAGAACTTCCATCTGCCCCCAGGTGCAAAACAGACATATGCCCCCAGGTGCAGAACTTCTATCTACCCCTAGGTGTAGAAAAAAGATATGCCCCTAGGTGTAGAACTTCTATCTGCCCTCAGGTGTAGAACCTCCATATGCCCCTAGGGGCAGAACTTCCATCTGCCCCCAGGTGCAGAAAAAAGATATGCCCCTAGGTGCAGAACAGACATCTGCCCTTAGGTGTAGAACTTCTATCTGCCCCCAGGTGTAAAACAGAGATATGCCGCTAGGTGCAGAACAGACATCTGCCCTCAGGTGCAGAACCTCTATATGCCCCCAGGGGCAGAACAGAGATATGCCCCCAGGTGTAGAATAGAGATATGCCCCTAGGTGCAGAACTTCTATCTGCCCCTAGGTGCAAAAGAAGTTATATGCCCCCAGGTGCAGAACTAAGATATGCCCCCAGGTGCAAAACAGACATCTGCCCCCAGGTGCAAAACAGATATATGCCCCTAGGTGTAAACGAAGTTATATACCTCTAGGTGTAAAATAGAGATATGCCCCTAGAGCAAAACGGAGATATACATAGTTACCTTATTATGAGGAGTCTGTTTGCTGCGCGCGCGTGCGTCCAGCCTACAGGAAAGCTCCCTAAGGTAAGAACTTCATACTGTAGACTTCAGCTAAAATAAAGATATAAAAAGAGGACGTTAATAGATAATTATATAAACGCGGCATATATAGAGATTAAAGAGAAGAAGCCTTCTAATCAATATAGATAAAGAAGGATGAGAAGGAGTTATACTTAGAGCAGCAGCAGGCGTGACGGATAAGCGTAAACTAAGCATTAAGAAGAGTAAAAAGAACCCATAGAGGAAGATAGGAAGAAGAAGAAGAAGAGGAAGAAGGACGCAACCAGAACAATACTATTAATAACAAGCTATCAACAGACCAGATAGGTAGCTAAAACGCGTCATACTAAACGGGTATAGCGTCGCAAAAAGCAATACCTCACCTAACGCGTTTGGAGAGGATATACTATACAGCCATAAAATGCGTTGCATTCTTCTACTACTGATAACAATAAGGATAAGCATAGTAAGGAAGGAAGGTAGAGGAGCTATTGCGACGCATAAGAATACTACTTGAGAGGGATGAGAAGTTGGATATGTAGTGGTTTAAGGGGAGAGTGGTTAATAGTATTGGGCGCACGTGGGGCTCCTAATGAAGCGAGGGAGACTGCAGCAAAGTGAGGGAGACGGCAGCGCAGCGCACCGGCAGATATGGGGATTAGTAATTCCGCTTCCGCGCGTGATGCTTTAACTGCACCCAGCCAGCAGTCAAAGAGAGCAGCGTCAAAGGAGGCATATTGCAGAAGGCATACCACTACACTTAAGTGAGAGTAGATATATAAGTAGAACGTAATTTATAGAACGTTATTTTATTAGTTGCTAGGTTATTATATCAATCTAGTAAAGTATAGCAATATAATAAATAAAAGTGTGTAATTAAATATAAGAGTAAAAATAAAGTCAGAATAGGACGTTAAGAAGCTAAGCTTTTTCTCCCTTAATAAACTACTTACTACACAATAACAGACCAGAGCTTTCCTCACCTTTATTATTTCAACTACAGCTAGTATATACGCGCATATAAAAGGAGTGTTAACGAGCTGGGCCTAAGAGGCAGCAATTCAAACTGTAGTGAAATATAGTACGTTATGTTACTATAAACTAGTGCAGCCTGAAGCCAACTATATCGGTCTTTCCCTACTTAATAAGTGCTTTATACGTTTGATCTAGGCAATTAACTACATAGAGGGTTTGAGGATAGGTAGGAGTGCTGAGACGGGCTCTAGCCAGACTAAGATGAGGTAAATAGCTATATTACAGCTCCTCCTAGCATATAAGCTCACACAATTAAGGTGGCACAAACAAGGTCACCAATCAAGTTGAATCCTATTCACAACCCTAACGTGTTCAATAATAGACAGGGCCAGCGCTCGCTCTCAAAGCCTGCCCTCTAAGCCGGCTATAAGAACCCAGCGGCGGAGCAGACCCAACAGCGACCCACCCGGCGGCGACCCACCCGGAGGGATCGCGCGCCGTGCGCCGGTAGCCAAAGGGACCAATCAGTAGGCAGAGACCCCTACCAGCTCCTGCCCGTTAACCTGGTCGCATATAAAGCCTAGGCCAACCCACCCACCTCATCAGAACCGCAGAGGAAATCAATCATCACCGCCACAATGCCACAGACCACAACGGAGAAGAAGCGGAAGAGAAGAGCAAGGGAAGCTACTGAGGCGGCGCCCGACCGAAAGCGCCAGACGAAAGAGGATGCCTTCCTTAGCGAGAGCGAATCAGTCCGGGAGCGCGCTAGGCCCTACCTGCTCGCCGTGGCCAAGATGCCAGTCGATACGCTCGGGACGAGGTGGAGCGTCGGCAGGAACCGCCCGCTCGAGGCAGGGCACGCTCGCGAGCTGAAGGAGGTCTTCAAGAGGAGCGGTCTGGAACGCCGCGCCCCAGAACACCGCATCCTCGTGCTCTGCGGCGCCGAGGAGGTCCGCCGCATGCGAAGCGCGCAGCCAGGGAGCGACCGGGGCGGCGAGGACGACTTTCTCGGCTGGGCCGCGGTGATCGGCAGCACGCCCGAGGTGATGGCAGGCCAGCACCGCATCGAGGCCCTCCGGGCGTATGTGAAGGAGACGGGCGGGTCGGCGTCGGACCTGTAGTGGACGTGCGAGCTCTACAACCAAGGTGAACCGGTACCGCCCACGGGTAAGACGCGGCGGGAAGGCTAACGGCAGCTAGACCGCCTACCATCCGATCTCAACCTCAAGTTACGAGTCAACTGGAGGGACCTAAGCTAAGCCGACACCCACGGCTAGATCTGGACGCAGCTGGTATCAATCGGCCGCGACGCCGACGGGCCGCTCCGGCGCAGGCGTATCAACAGTAATCTTAAGCTCGTAGAGGCGCTACGGCTGGGCAGCGAGAAGGGTTTCCCAATGCGAAGGCTGGTCACGCTGTGGAACCACTAAGGATAGCGGGACATAACGACGAGATGGTACCGCATAAGGCTGGGCCTCAAGAGCTTTAGCATCTCGACGTTTGAATGGATGGCCCGGCTCTGGGTCGACGACTACTGGTTCTCGACGCTGGACACGGTGCTCCGCACCATCGAGGCCCTGCCGCTCGACGGGTGCGGCGAGCCCGGGCAGGCCGACTGGCACCAGTTAGCAACAGGTCTCAGAGGGGTCGGCCGACCACAGGACGCAGTGGAATCCTTCTTCTTTGAGGACGAGGGCGGCCGTCGCGCCCGGCGGGACCGAGGCCTACTCGCATCCCTAGACGACGTCAGATATAGCGCCGTGTGCGAGGCTATTGCGGCCGCTCCCGAGCTCGCCTTCCCCGACCTACGGCGCTTCCTCCGCACTAAGAAGACCGACGCGCAAACGGCAGTCCGTATCCTCCAGCACACCATCGCCTAGATCGACCGGGATAGCGCCGTCGCCGTTAACGAGGTACACCCTAAGACCCAGAACAAGCCATTACTACGGGAGCACCTACTAGACGCGCTCGGCAAGATCGGCCGGTCTCGCGGCGTCAAAGGCCACACCGCCTCAGCAGCGGCGGCGCAACAGCTGCAGCAGCGCGTGCTCGACTTCGTCCGGGACCACATCAACGAGTTCACCACAACGGAGGAGGCCAAGACGCTTATCAACGACAGTGTGTCACTCGTCAACAGTCCGGCCTATGCCGACCGGTTTACCCTTATCTCTTAGGCCCGCCTCCTGCGCCTTGTGAGGCGTGTCACCGACGTAGACGGCCACACACTCCGCCCGGAGTGGCAGACCGCCCACGCGACGCGCCAGAGAGGGCATCAGGAACAGGTCTCGGCGCTAGTGCGGACGTTTTGCGTAGATGTGTCCCGGCTAGCCGCCGACCGCCCCGGGCTGCGTGACGCCGCCATACGTTCAGACCTCCAACGCAAGATCGAGGCGCTCATCGTAGGCCTCCCTAACGGCGCATCAATGCCAAGCAGCCGCGCCGCCGAGCCACCACACCCTGGCTCGGGAGGCACCATCGAGGATTCCAACGCCGGCGACACCGAACCCGCAGAGGGCAGCACCAGTGGCTAAGCCGAACTGAAACCGCCGGAACCCCCAGCGGGCACACGTGGCCGTCACCGGCTCGGGTGGGACGACGTGGCCTCGTCGCTATCAACCGCCGCCCGGTTAGAGAGAGGCTCGCCGCCCTCAGAAGCCTAAGGGTCGCCAGAGCCGACGGTCGATATAGGTGGCCGCAGTGGTCACGGCGAGGGCGGCGCTAGGAAGCATCTCCCTCACTAGAAGCTGGGCACCAGGGCCGGAATGCCGACAGACCTGGGAAGGCGTCGAGGGGCTAAGATGCGGTAGGAATATAATATTAGGTCCATGCCCGGGCAAATGTAGGAGTAGGCGCCGCTCAACAGCTTTAATAAAGGGTGGGCAAGACCGACCTATAGCGAGTCCGGGATGTATAGATATAAGAACAGGGGGCCGCCCCACGTAGTCAATAACTAATCGTCCAATACGGCGCAAAATAAGAGCCCTGCGCGTCACATCATATCTACTGGGTCATCACCACCACACAAGCCGACCGGCATCTCATCTCCGCCTAACTACTAGTGTTTTACCTTTATAGTGCTATAAGGGAAAACCCAGGCGAAGACCTATAGAGCTATATATCCCGCTAGGGGTATAGCCGCCCAGGCTACTAGTCTGAGCCTATGCGGTCTCAGTAGAAACCTAGCGTAGCATTCAATCCAACGTCAAGCCAGTATATCACCTGTATCTATCCTGGGAAAAGAAAGATCGGTAGGAAATGGGACCTAGGAGGCGGCCCGCCATCTTATATTGGCGACAGCTCTACACCTGGGGGCATAACCGTAGGTCCTCTATATTAGATGCAGCATAGATCGATCCGGGCCCTAAGCTACTATAAGACGTCGTCTAGTAAAGGAGGGTTTTAGTGCCGCCGCCTCTATGCGTATGAGACTAGTAAGCAGGATGTTATAGTGAACCGGAGAGGAGCAAGGCCTCTCTCCCTTCCTAGGTATATACTACAGCTAGGAGGGTAGAGAGGCACTACTATATAGTCTATTACTAGTCGAGAGGCTGTGGAAACCTTATTAGTATTCCCTCTAGCTTATACGTTATATGTGGTTTGCTTTACTATTGCGTCCCAGTACTGCTAACCGCATACCAAGCTAGATCACATTCATACTATTGCTAGCATATCTACCGCACATAAGGAAGACGACTACCCTAACGACCTGTATGAGGACGAGCCGTCTGACGCCGACTAGCCTATGACCCTCGACCGCAACGAACTATTTGCTAACAACTAGGACCCGCCTCAACAGCAAGACAGCCGCTAGAGGTGGGCGGTAGACCACTCTTTAGGCCACCATAAGTTCCAAGGTATGTCTCCTACGCGTGAACCCGGGCCAACAGAGCTAACGCTATTTACAACGTCCTCAGCGCAGCGCTTCATCAACAAGGTGCTCAGCAGCGACTTCAAGCCGGCCAACGCCCTTAAGATCCTCCAGGAGAAGCATACAATCAATTACAGATCCCACTCAGCGGGCGGGGCGCAGGCCAAGCCAACGGACGCCTTCTTCCCACTATTCTTCCTCGACTTCCTCAGCATCATCAGCAAGCCAGGGCGTCCAATTACGAGGCGCAACGGCCCAATATTCAATAATGTAACCGTCTCTTTCCAGAAGTATAGGGCTCCTTACGGCGCGAAGCACATCGGCGGGATCCCATTCAACATCACCGGACGCACGTTTAGGATCGCCCAGGCCGCTACTAGAGAGATCTAGTTCATCGTTATGCATCCAGTTGGGGGCGAGACGGCCGATCCCGCCGGCCGGCGCGAGAGGGAGCTGGCTGGGGAACGGAGCGGGATGGCGGGCGAACTAGCGCGGCAGCTAGCAGCCTACATCACGGGCGTCTTCCAGTCACCCGAGCTGCTGGGTGAAGGGGTTGAGCCGTGCTGGCGACCCGGGGGCAGGCACAGCCAGCGCATAAGCTCCACCCGCTGGACGGCGTTCCAAGAGCTCTTTATGGACGGCTGGGCGACCTGGGCCGGCGGCCACCCCGCGGAGTCCTACTGGCGACGGCACGAGCCGGCCTTCCACGCGTACGACTATGGCGCCAACATCGAGATCGAGGTCGGTGAAAGCATATACAACCTTCCGCGCGAGAGACACGTCCACCTGGACGAGGACAGCGAGGAGGACGGGGGGTCCGACAACGAAGAAGGAGAGGAGGACGACGCCCGGCGCGGCCTCAACGGTCTCTTCATCAACGAGGGGCCGGACGGCCCTGCCGTGGAGGGAGGCGGCAGCCCCAGCAGCTCCGCCAACGGCCCACCATACCGGCAGATGATCGGGGAGAGCGAGGGGCTACAGAAGCTGATCACGGAGCTCGGCGCCCGCTTTAGGCCGGACAACATCACCGCCGTCTCATACGCCCTCGCCGTCTGCCTCCACAGCGAGTCGGGCGACTCCGAGACGCGCTGTCTCCTCGCGGACCGGAACATGCTGGGCCGCGAGTTCCCCAGCAGCAGCGACTACACCTTCTACCCGCAGGCCTTCCACCCCGCGTATGGGAACTTCTCCTCCAACCGCTCGCCGGCGTTCCTCGATTCGCTGTACACCGCTATTAGCGGGCGCGAACGGCCCCGGTAGGGTGGGGTTAGGGCTAGGAAAAAGAGGTTTAGGCTAGGAAAAGGAGGTTTAGGCGGCTAGGAAGGAAAAGGAGGTTTAGTATTAGGAATAAGCTAGGTTATAAAGTTATAGTTATAGATATTATTTTATTTACTTTAGGTATCTATAGTAGAAAGGAATATAGGGGTAGATAAGTAGGTAGATAGGTAGGTAGATTAAAAAGCTTTATTTAGAATAGAAAAGCCCCTAGGGGCTTATTAATCCTTAAGTCTATTATATTATTAAATATTAAGTAAGCCCTAGGGGGTTTTTAGATTATAGTTATTAGAGAGCTTATTTTAGGACTTATTATAAAGTGATTTATAAAGAAGCCCTAGGGGGCTTTTAGATTATAGTTATTAAGCTTATCCTAAGACTTATTATAAAGTAATTTATAAAGAAGCCCTAAGGGGCTTTTAGATTATAGTTATTAAGCCTATCCTAGAACTTATTATAAAGTAATTTATAAAGAAGCCCTAGGGGGCTTTTAGATTATAGTTATTAAGCCTATCCTAGGACTTATTATAAAGTGATTTATAAAGAAGCCTCAGGGGGCTTTTAGATTGTAGTTATTAAGCCTATCCTAGGACTTATTATAAAGTAATTTATAAAGAAGCCCTAGGGGGCTTTTAGATTGCAGTTATTAGAGAGCTTATCCTAGGACTTATAAATAATTAGATAACTAATATAGCCTCTATAATCTCTTACTTATAAAAATATAACTATTAATAGCTCTACTAGTTATAGGAGATAGAAAAGAAGTAATCTATATAGAACGTATACATAGTAGTAGATTAAATAGACCTTACTTATAGAAAGAATTATATAAAGAGATATAGAGAGCAAAAATAAAGCTTAAGCGGCTAGCCTTAGCAGGAACAGCACCTATAAGCAGCTTAGAGATATGTCTCAAATACGCCAGTTTAAAGCCTGCCCCTCTATAGAGTATATAAAGTGGTTTGTGGTTTGTTGAGGCCGTTTAGTATTAGAAACTACACGAGAGATTCTTCTTGTCTGTTCTAACTCTAGCTTATTACTGTATGGCGTGTTTGTGGGGGCTGAGTGTTTGGCTGGGCTGGCGGTGAGGGATTAAATGTGGATGAGAAAGAGAGAGGTAAATAGGTGGGAGGATAAAAGGATATATCTGGGCATCTAGCTAGCCACCTACTAATATATCTGGGTTATGAGACTTCTTTGTCTTATTATATAAGATTCTCTACTTACGTAAGATCCATTATTATCTTAAATCCCTCTAATAATTAGCATAACTTAAATAAGAAGCTGGATATATTCCTATATAATATAGAAAGTATATATAGAACTATTATTATCTTATTAGTATGGTTATATATACTAATAGTATGGAGAGATAAACGCCTTATATATATTGTAGTAGGAGAGAATAATTTAGGGGCATTATTTATTAGAACTTCTATTCTAAGAAGACTTTTAATGTTATGATAAACTTCCCTAATAAATTGATAGCAGTGTAAACCTAATATTAGTATTAGCCTAGGAACTCTTAGTCTTATTATATTACTCCTAGTATAACTATAAATAGAATAAAGGCGTAATAAAGACGCTAGAGAGTGAAAATAAGCCGTACTACCTAAAAATAATTAGTATAGATAATAAGTATAAGAAGATAAGGTGGGAACTAGACTAGAAGGGAGCGTAGCAAGAACCCTCTACTATAAACACAATATATAGATAGATAGCATAAAGACATAATGGAAGCTAAGAATATCCTTCTCTTAAGGATTTTATTAATATAGCATTAGTTATGTTATAGAATTCCCTATTTATCTAGGAGCTAGGGTTCAAGATGTCCATCTCGCAAGAACTGCAGGAATAACATAACTCCGGTCACGCCTACAGAGCCCCTAGGGGCTTTAGTGAGTAATTATAAACCAGTAGAGAACTAAATAATAGGCCTATTTGGGAAACGGAATAGTTCCTTATATAGAGATAGACGTAAAGAGCCTTATAGATGCTATCCTCTATTACTCTTACCGCTATATAGCGTATATTATTATGAGAGGTGGAGCAATAGCTAACGATGGGATGGAGAGGGGCCAGATGGAGGCGCCTATAACACCATTGTGGCCTAGCCAAAGGCAGGGTATGCGCCTGCGCGTTGAGGCCTAGGAAACGATAATTACATACTAGAAGTGAACCTACGCACCAATACAGCTAAGAACAGCAAAATAAGACACTAGATAGGAATTCTAGTAATAACGTAGTTACTTAGAATTATCTACTATATGTTATGTAAGGGAGGTATTAGAAATGTAAGTGAGATATAACTCTTATATATTAATGTTATGATGTAGTGAGTGTAAGTAAGGGTGAAATAACTTAGGAATGCTGACCAAAAATGTGACTCTAGCGGCCCTAGGTATTATTTGTAGGCGATTCTAGTAAAATTGGCCATATAAATAGCGGAAGGTGGTCTGGGCGTTGGAGCAGAATTGGTTGGACTTGGGATGGAGCTGTGATTGGGTGGTATTTAACCCTAACATACCTTCCACGACGGACTCTAGTAGAGTCCATTAAAAACCACACGTTAAAAAAAGTGGAGTCAATAAAGACATAGGGTAGAGTCCATTGAAATAACAGGGGGTAGAGTCCGTTAAGGTTTTCTATAGTAAAATCAGTCAAACCAGCATGTAATAAAAGCTGAGAGTTAGGCTAATTTAGATATCTATTTATCTTCTCTATACCACCTCATTTCAGCATTATCTACTCATAATTGTTTTTATACCTAGTTCTCGTGAGGCTGGTCTGAGCGTAGAAATAGCCAATCAGTAGATAGACGTATTGACCTCACAGCTTAGCTAATTAGACATTCCTTTCAATATTATATTACATTATTACTTCTTTCTATTTACTCACTTTCCTCCCTTATCCCCATAGCCCTAACATACCTTCCACGACGGACTCTAGTAGAGTCCATTGAAAACCACACGTTAAAAAAAGTGGAGTCAATAAAGATATGGGGTAGAGTCTATTGAAATAACAGGGGGTAGAGTCCGTTGAGGTTTTCTATAGTAAAATCAGTCAAACTAGTATGCAATAAAAGCTGAGAGTTAGGCTAATTTAGATATCTATTTATCTTCTCTATACCACCTCATTTCAGCATTATCTACTCATAATTGTTTTTACACCCAGTTCTCATGAGGCTGGTCTGAGCGTAGAAATAGCTAATCAGTAGATAGACGTATTGACCTCACGGCTTAGCTAATTAGATATTCCTTTTAATATTATATTATATTATTGCTTCTTTCTATTTACTCACTTTCCTCCCTTATCCCTATAGCCCTCTTCTACCTAGAAGATGGAGCTATTTACTTTTAATACCTAGTATTCTCTTTATATATATATAATATATAAGTTTGCTATTATTGCTAATGAAGTAGCAACCCATTTGCAGACTTAACACCCAGCTATTATAGCCCAGGAGCAGGCTCAAATCATCAGCACTATCTTAAATCTCCCAGGAGTTACTTACAGCTAGGTTAAGCTGTCATAGATCTAGTTCCTAAGCCCAGCATCTACTCCAATTGAGCATCTAGCTAAGCCATAGACGGATGGCATTCAGTGCCACAGCTGCCACTATGTCTGCCGGCAAGTCCGGAGAATCCAAGAGCACTGCTAGAAGGAGTATAGCTAGAAGAATAACTAGGTAAAAGGTGGCAATATAAAACAAAAGATAGAGCAGCTTCAAGAGGTACTATAGACAATAGGCGTTCTCTACTAGTGGTTCTTCCCATCCCAAATAGGTAGCTGCTGGTTTGAGGTTGGGTGAGGACTACTAGCTGTGGATATATCACCTAAACAGACAGCAGCTCAACAGGCCGCCAGCCGCATTAATTAGCTCTGGGGAGCCCAAAAGCAGCGTATAAAGACCAGCTATAAGGAGCTTATCTGGGTAATATCTAAACGGCTTAAACCTAACCTATGGCTGCACTGTGTCGGCTGGGCAGACCATCTATGAGGACTCAACATAGGTCAGCTGCGAGCAATAGCAGGCCTAATTCAGGAGGACGAGGAGGTGCTAGGGGCCATGTGGAAGGCCATTGACATAGTGCTGGATACAGCATGGGCTGTGTTGAGCCTAAATAGGGTTGGACACGCTGTACTCTTTGAGGCGTAGCGCAAAGAAGCCCACGTGAAGCCGGTGAGGCCGTTCGACAACCGTATGGAGGACGACACATAGGCGAGGTACAAGGACGTGTGGCGGGTCTTGCTGTGTATCTAGTACTGAACGTAGGAGATAGACGACGACAAGAGACCGCCATATAAGCTTACGACTAAGCAGGGCGAGCTATAGGACAGCTTCGAGCAGACAGCACAAATAGCCATAACGACGCCGTCACAAGAGGACAAACTAGAGCGCACCGGCTTAGACATGCTCGTCAGCATGCTAGACCACCAGCTCAAGGGAGGCCAGTATGAGAACGCGCTTATTAGCGCTCTAGCCGTAATAGGCATCGTAGAGGATGGAAGTTAGATCCAGATCACAGACTACACAACAAAGTACTCAGCCGTTATTAAGGTGGCAAGGATGCTTATCGTATCCCAGGCCGTTGTGGAGCGGCGCGATGAGATATTAGGACTGGAGGAGGAGATGGGGAAGGATGAGGCCGCAGAAAAGGCCACAAGCTTATTCCAGTACGTACGGTCTAAGGTGCGGCGGTTTATGACGCGGACGTCAGGCGATAAAGATGCGGAGCCAACACCAATGGATTGGATTTTCGACACGCAGACGTACAGGATGCATATCCAGTATAACACGCCAGCAGCAGGCGTCATCAACTGGGTAGGCGACCGGGTCTCATTCCGCCGTGTGCGATTCACTATGGGCCAACTATCGGACGCGCTGCACAAGCTCGCCAGGGAAGGCAGGGAACTGCTGGACGAGCTGGCGATGCTGCAGCAGCCAGACGGTCTTAAAAGAGGCCATCTTCCAGCCATCCCAT